TTTTAAGAAGAATGTTAATAAAATATATTTGAATAAAGTAAATTAATTTTAATTCGAAAACTAATCAAATTTTAAATTTTATTATTGGATGAAGGATTGTCAATTCTTGTAAGCGGATTTACACTAAAAAAATGTAATTTTATCCCAAGTAAGGTGATAAAGCCACTAAGAAGCAAATGTTATGTGCCGTGTCCCTTCAGGATGTAGGCGATCATGGCTCGCTTGTAGCTCAGTGAAGGAAAATGAGAAGAAATGTCACGCCTCTTCCGGATGTCTTAGTTATTTCCCTTTAACTCAACTCTGCAAGTTTTGTTTCACCACTGCTGTAGCCTGGTATTGAACTCACAACTCTTTGGGTCACTGGATCTAACCAATGTCTTTATCTACTGGGTCACGTGTCCTTTAGGAATATGGCAATGAAGATGAGGATAACAGTCCGAATAATGAAAATAACATAAGTAATCATAAAACCTCATCTCAGAGATATAGACAGATAGGGTCTTGATTATTCTAATATTTTTCTGATCTATATAAAGGTTGCTGAGTAGTTCAGATATATATATATATATATATATATATATATATATATATATATATATATATATATATATATATATATATTTGTGGCATAGTTTATTGAGTGCCTTTGCGTAAGAGTGACATGAAAGGACTATATTCAGGAAGACAGGGGTTGGCCATTGACGGTGTAGGGGGCAGAGAAGCAAGAAATCGGAAGAGAGTTCTACAGGTGAGAGGCGAGAAAAAAAACTACGGTTACATATAGCTATCTCAGCAGTAATACGGTGAGACCTAATAGCCAATCTAGTAGTACGTTTAACTTCATGCGTTCGATATACTAAGGAGGAGATCACATTAGAAGAACTGCCATAAAAATATTCATAGAACAGAGTGAAGCCACGTCACCGTGGTGGTGAGGCGACTGAAGTCAAGACGACAGGATATGTAACATTATAGACCATTATGTACCGTAAAATGCGGCACCATATTTTCTTACATAATTACAAATCAGTCAGTTACATGCCATGTGTGATACACGCTTAGGCGATCATGTATCTTTCGATACATGACTGACGAGGCAAATTTTTTCCCTGCAGTAGTTTGCCATTTCTTCCTGCGGTAGACCAAAAAGGCTAAAAAACCAGGCCTATCCTGCTATTTACCCATAACCAAGGGTGGGGAAGCAGAGGATTCATACCTTTCCCAAGGGGATTAGCACGTAAGTGAATGTAAAAGATTCAACTGGAATTCGAACTCGGCACTCCGATTATTGAATCCGAGCCGCTAACCATTACGCCACTGTGCCTTAATTACGAGTGCGAAAAGGTTTTTACATGTGAGTTTTTAAGTAAATATTATTCAATTATTGTTGCGCTCGGCTCTTTCACGGAATCAGGATACCTTTCCGAATTTCGTCATTGTTTTTTTTTTTGGATAGCGCCTTAGTGATCAGACTATTGAAGCCAATGAAAAAACGGCATTCAAATATGATCCTTTGTGACAGGCTTCCATAGACTATGGCTAATGTTGATTGATTGATTCGCGTTCTCCGCCTTATCAACCCTTTGCTGGTTATTTAAAGCCAGAAAATATTTTCAGATTGCAAGAAATTTAAAAAGATAATAATGGTTTAGTTGTACAAGTCTTACTAATTAACCCATAACTAGTGGATTCATAAGTTTCCCAGTGGTATTTACGCGTCAGTGAATATAACGAACCGAAGAGGAACTGGAACTTTGTTCTCCAATTTACAATTTAGAGCTATTATCTTTAACGTGATCGCACGGGAACCGATGTTTCAACGTGATATGGCCGTAAGCAGACTTTTATTAAGATGCAGTTTATGTTACACAGGTTTTTAAAGATAGGGGGAGGCTTGTTCAATTCTCCGTTACTTCATTAGTTCTAATCCTTTCAGGTTACTTAACGGTTGTAGAATTTAAAAAAACAATCTGGGCATTTCGAATAAATTCATCAAAATAAGATGACAGAAATGCTTGTAAAAGATACCTGATAGATAAACTTCTTTTTCGGTGTGTCGTGTCCTTTCAGGACGTGGGAGGTTTGGGCTTCCCACAAGTCCCTGTCATTTGTAGCACTTAATCTATGTTCTTGTGACCATTTACAGAAATTCATTACATAACTTATGCGCTGTTTCCCTCTGTCACTCTTGTCTTCACTTATATCCTGTAAGTGTCAAATTTTCCAAGCCCTCTTTCCTCGTTATATGCCCTAGAATTTGCAAGTTTTTTTTCATGCTACGTGTTTTTTAAGTTTTCAATTACTTTAAAACTTCGTCGTTGTTCACATTTTCAGTTCACGGCATTCTCAGCATCCTCCTGTAGAACCACTTTTCCATTACTGAAAAATCTCTTCTTCATCTGTGAGGAGATTGCCCGGCATTCACCATCATATAGGAAGGCCGATATTACATAACAATCCTCTAGTCTTTTCTTTGTTTTTAATTAAAATTTCCTGATTATTAATACTCTGCTTAGCTTTTGAAAGTCATCTTTCGCTATTTCATAGCGTTTTTTGATTTCGATGTCGCATTTTCCGTCCACTGTTAAAACACTTCATCTAAAAAAAGAAGCATTTAAATTCTTGCACTAGCTTGAGGGGCTGTTCCTTTTGCTGCCAGCCATACATTGTATATTTTTACAATTGAAGTTTAGTCATTACTTCTCACTTCCTTTCACTAATTTCTGTGTAAGTTCTGGTAGTTTCCTTTCAGATAATTAGCTCTGTGACATCTGATGTTCTTAAGATTGTGGCCGCCAGTACTGAATTATGGTTGGACTTCAAATTCTCTCCGCACTACTTCACTGTAAACGCTGAATAAGCCCGGCGAGAAGAGCCTTTATTTCAGAAAACTGCATGTTAAGGGACTGAAGCTAAGATCAGGACCAATAGCATTTCAAATTCTTCTTTGGATGTTATCAAGAATCCCTTCGACGTGGGTATGATGATAAACTACATCGGGAGCAAGGTCTCTGATCAAGAGGTTTAGAGGAGCGGGAAACTACCTCTTAATTGCTGATGTCCCCAGGTCCACTCTGACCTCGGGTGGTAGTACCTGTTAGGGTCCCAGATATGGTATAATAGTTAATTCCTAAACTGGAGTCAAAACACTATGTAAAAATAAATTTTAATACCAGTAATCGTTTTTGATAAAAAGAAAATATTACCAGTAATAAAATGCTTGCCAGCATTAAATACCCCATTGAAGTTGCCGTAAAGTAAAGCAAAACAAACCAAACAAAATGAAGAATTTCTAGATATATAGCTGTAGCAATAGGCCAGATTTGGCAACAACATTAAAAGCAAAGACGAACGGTAGATTTATAAATACAGTGTAACCCGGATATAAGAGAGTTGTCGGGACCGGAGAAGAAGTCTCTTATATTCGGGTTTCTCTTATATACGGGTTTGGTCTATTTTGTTTAGGTAAGTATGGGAACACGTTGGGACCAAAGAAAATCTCTCTTATATCCGGGTTTCTCTTATATACGGGTTTGGTCTATTTTGTTTAGGTAAGTATGGGAACACGTTGGGACCAGAGAAAATCTCTCTTATATCCGGGTTTCTCTTATATCCGGGTCTCTTATATCCGGGTTACACTGTATATAAGGTAGATTTTGTCGAGAATAATAGTTTCGGATGATACAGGAAAGTAACCTTTTCAATATATAATCTAATCTACCTTTGGGAGTTAGAGGAAAAAACGCGAGGCCAGCTCGAAAAAAATATTGACGCGTTTTTTTCATCAAATATTAATCTGGATAAATCCTTGAACAAAGATTTTGAAAATGTTATTTGATGATATACATGTTACATTTTTCTTTCAGAAAATGACTTTTATTTGGTTATCTTTTGGTAATTTAGCCATTCCGGGAATTTGAATTATCCGAAAATATTTTTTTTTAACTCTAGTCCGTTTTCAGATAATCGTTTGATTGAGAGGGGGAATCAGGGATTAATCTCCCCGGATTGGGTCAACTTGGTGATGGGGAGTATGATGTTGAAAGACCCGAAACTCCTTGATGAACCAAGTCAAAAAACATCACTGACGACCCACCTCGGGTGCCTACTTAAGAGAGTATTTTTGAATTACATTTTTCTTTCAGAAAATGACTTTTATTTGGTTATCTTTTGGTAATTTAGCCATCCCGGGATTTTGAAGTATCCGAAAATATTTTTTTTAACCCTTGTCCGTTTTCAGATAATCGAGAAAGTATTTCGATTTAACCAATACCTGCATTTTTTTCTCTGTGTCGATGCCTCATCTAATGGCTTCTTGTCTATCAGCCACCTTCTCTTCTGAATTTATCAGTTGCAGAATTGACGAATCTTAAACTTTGCCTGTAATGCGAATTCATGACTCTAAACAGTTTTCGGTTAATGGTCAGATATCGTGAGCGGTGCCAAAGTTTCAACCACTTAGCCGCATGACCCCGGAAATCCATCAAAATTGATCAATGGCGGTTACATTCTATAATATTCGAAGACTTTTCTAGATCCTTTATGAACTCCCGCCAACGCCTGCGTGGGAAGTAATCATCTAGGACGAAACACTTCTGACCTTATACAAAAGTAATATCCAAATTCGAGAAGTACCCACAATGCATTACATCTACGAAGAAAGACTAGATACAGCCCAATATTTCCCCGGTTGATTTTTTCAAACAGTCTCAGTATAAAATATCTGTTGCTCAAATACCGCCCGACAACACCCAACAAATTTTTTAACAATTCTGAGAATTAAATTTAACTGCAATTTTCTTGGCTTACGTCCACATCACGTTGAAACACCAGTCCCCCCGTACGATCACCAAAGGTAAGCAACGTCGAGCCTGGTCAGTACCTAGATGGGTGACCGCTTTGATATGCATTTATAATGAAAGTAGTGTTAACTTACTACGAAAATTTGACTAGCAATCGCTTTTTTTAAACGGTTATCTTCGAGGTAACGTTTTAGGTTTACGGGCATATTACAGTGAAACAGCGGTTCTCTTACGATCACAAAAGTAAGCAACGTCGGGCCAAGTCAGTATCTAGATAAGTGACCGCTTGGGAATACCAGGTGCTGTAAGTTTGCATGTGTGGCTGGTGTAATGGATAATAGCTCGTGGCCCGGAATTTTTAATTGAAGAGCCGAGTTCCAATTCCTGTTGGGTTCATTATATTCACTTACACGCAAATACCCTTCCTTTCTCCCCCATCTATGGGTTAATTAGTAAGACTTGTATCACTAAACTATTATTATCTAAAAGAAATTCTTACAATCTAAAAATATTTTCTGTCTTTAAATAACCTGCAAAAGGGTTGATAACCCGTAGAAAGCGAATCAATAAACAACAATGTGAGTCATTTACATTGCTCAGTATAAATTGACGGCCTTTTAAAAATCTTGAGAGAAAATGTAATTACGGCCCGAAAGATTCTTACAATGGCTAGCAATGACTGTGACCTTCTCAATGGATTTTGAGTTAACAAACAACGCTGAAAATAGCGTTGATGCTCTCCAATGTATTTGGTGTGTATATTGTTTTTATATATTTTCCTTATCGCCCAACAGCGTCCATCATTAACATTTTTGTATATCTTAATTACAGCCCCACTTTGTCATTGTCAAATATCAATTATTTTACTAATTAATTCGCGGAAATAATTTTACTAACAGATCGTTTTAAAGTTTGTATCAGAAATTATGTCCTGATAATTTTTCCGACATTTTGTGCCATTCATTTTTTTTTAATTAACATTTTATTCATTCTTTTACCAAAAAAGAAAAAACTGGGGTACTTTGCTGGTACTTCTGTTTCCAGCGAATAAAACCTGTAGGTTTTTGAGAGGACCATCCTTCAGCGAATTTCACGGACTGGTGTCACAGAATCAGAAACAAAGAACTGTAGCAAATAAAGAAACGAACGTGACTCGAGGACTTTCAACAACAGTAATAACATGAAATGTTAAGAGAATATAAAGGAATAGTAAGATTGATACTCTGCTTAAAACAAAAGGTTAGGAGTGCACCCCCACCCCAATACGATAACAGCTAGCAAACCTGAGAAACATGTTTTACTGAAAACATTGTTTTAATACAAAGATTCCATAAATTTCAGCCGAAAATATCCCTGACATGCCGAATGTTTCCACATAAAGAAACAGCTAATATTAGCTTATATATCACAGACCAACGATGATTTGGTCCACATGAACTTCTGTAAACCACAGTTACGGATAATTCTAACCAAACCTTTTATACTAATGTTTATCCATTACAAGACTAAAGAGCCAATCAATGTAGAGGGTTATTGTGTTCTTGTATGAGCGCAAGAAAAAGAAGCAGTGGAGGTCAAGGGGGCGTAAAAGGGATATCCAAATTCGAGAAGTATCCAAATTCATGACGGTCGTCTTCGAGTATAGAATCCAGAGGTTGGCAGTGAATATTTCGGAGACAGTAGGAAAGCGTAATTCAGGTTCGCAGTGGATATCGCAGCAAAGTAGCAGAGCGTAGTTCTTCTTTCTGTTATCTTCGCCTGACAAGTTGGCACTGGTCATTCGGCTAGGATAAACAAAAATGGCCGCCTTTATACACAACGGATACAATGTTCAGCGGCTTCTGATTGGTTAACCTTCTATTGGTGGACTATAAAGGGAGTTAAGTCATTTGGATTGGCTCACTAGTTACATATACCCAAAAAACCGTAACACCCACCATGCATTACACTCACAAATGAGTGTAAGAAAAGGCAAGCAGTGAAGGTCACGGGGTCGTAAAAGTGATATCCAAATTCGAGAAGTACTCACCATGCATTACATCCACAAAGAAAGACTAGATACCGCCTAACATTCCCCGGCTTACTTTTTCAAACAGTCTCAGTATAAAATTTCTGTTGCTAAAATACCGCCCGACAACACAACAATTTTTTTAACAATTCTGAAAATAAAATGTAATTGCAATTTACTTGGCTTCCAGCCATATTATCCGTTTTTTTTAGAAGAAGCTGTCGGAATTAAACCTACTTCATACTATTGGAATATAGAGGAAATGGGGATGATTCACTCTTGTGTACGGAGCAGGGTTGGTACTTGTTGCCAGGAGTGGTGTGACCAAGGAATGTACGTCGCCAGGACACATATCAGGGAAATAGCAAGAGAATCGCGATGTTTCATCTGTGGGGAAGTGGTTGTAGAGTGGAAAATTCATCACTAATAAGTCCGCGGAGTTGTTTTTGAATTCTATCAAGACACAAAAGTGAGGACTGGGCAACTCCAGCCCAGATATGACAGCAATACCTCAATTTTGTTCTGGTCTCGTTCTTGTAAAGATAATGTATTGCAGAGGGAGTTAGATTCTTACTGGAGTGGTACAATGAACAGACTATTTTCTCAATACCTTTAGCAATAGATCGCATATATAAATTCCACTTGAGTTAAGGGTGGCCTTCAGTCTCAACAGATGTTCAAGACACGGGAACTCCCTGAGATAAGTAAAACGGTTTAAGACAAGTCATACTATGATCATAATACGCCTTCATTAGCTCGGGAAATTTTGCTCAGTAGGACCATCATCGTGTGATTGATTACCAGTTTCATGCAAGTCTTGCCCTCTGTTCGTCATTGAAGAGTAGAATTGCCAACGAACGTGTCACTGACAGAATCATCGATGTTTTTTTAGTCATCATCGCCTGATATAATCTGATGGTGTCGAAGAGAACAATTTTGTTCAACATTATTTCTCAACACGCCCAACAATACCTGCCAAATTTTCCAGAGCAATTTTTCATAGTATATTTCAGTTACCTCCCGACAACACTCAACGCTAACAGCTTTTTAAAGCATTTAGCGTATATTTCCGTATATATTCTTTGCCTTCCGTCAGCGTTCACCATTAAAATATCTCTGTCTTAATTACAGCTCAGCAATGCGAGTGTAAAACTTGATTATTTGACTGGTTATTATTTTTTTTAAGCTTTTCACCCCAAGCAAGGCGGGAGTGCCACTAACACGAAGGGTTTACAGAGAGTGGGAACAAGAGTAAAGAGACGTGATAGAGGAAATGATAAATAGAAGAACGGGAAATTAGATCAAGGCATCAGAAGATGTCGATTGACAGTACATTTGAATATTTGAAGACTATAACTGTCAGGGAAGCAAGTAAGAGAAAGGGAGTTCCACAGACGGAAAGTGCGAGACATGAAGCTATTGGAGTAGAAGAGATGGCTACATTTAACTGTTTTGATAGTGAAATAGTGGGACTGAAATGCCAACCTAGTAACACGCTTAAATTCATGCAGTTTTGGGAACCAGCGAAAATAGATCGTCGGAGCAGTTACTGTGAAAGTATTTGTAGAAAAGACAGAGGGAAGTGATGGCAGGTCTGTGAAAAACTGACTGTAGTCGAGATGTCAGACCAGGATCAACCGCATTAGGAATTTTAATAATTACCACCTCATTTTACCGGATCATTTTACCGCTTGTACCAAAAGAGTTACCGCCAACTTTTGCGATGAATTGTTCGAATTGCTATCATTGTTGATTAAAAATAACATCCTTTATTGATCGAGAAAACAAAAGAAATCGATTGGTGTACTTTGTATAGAATATAATCTGTTGTTTTTGTCATTACATGATAAATAGGTTCTAACCAGTATTTTTTTTATATTTGACTGTGTTGTTGGTATCGTAAGGGTTATCGGTGCAGAATGTCATTTCTTTTCTTGGTCAGGCTGAGAACATTGCATTTTTCTATGATATTTTTTCTTTCAACTTTTCTAACAAAGAATCGTTGTCATAGCAAGCGCGCGATTTAAAAGCGTAAATTTACACACACACGCACGCACGCGCGCGCACACACACAATGATACATCTATCTATCTATCTATCTATCTATCTATGTCTGTTCATTATCTATCTGTTTCAGTTCATATCTATCACAATCTGTTCATTATCTATCTATCTATCTATCTATCTATCTATCTATCTGACGTTAAAAAATACGCCCAAAAACGACATTATTACGTCATTATTTTTGCACCAATCTAATATCTCAGTCTGTTCATATCTATCTATCTATCTATCTATCTATCTATCTATCTAAGTCTGCTCATATCTATCTCAATCTATCTATCTATCTATTTATCTATCTATCTAAGTCTGCTCATATCTATCTATCTATATATCTATCTATCTATCTATCTATCTATCTATCTATCTATCTATCTAAGTCTGCTCATATCTATCTCAATCTGTTTATATCTATCTATATATCTATCTATATATCTATCTATCTATCTTGAGTTCTCTCAGTCACTTTGTATTTATCTAAAAATAAATACGCCTGAATTCACCTTCATCCCTCCCGTGCGCCAACGGATTATTGGTAGCATCTCCGATTGAAATCACTTAAGTCGGGTTTCGATCCTAGCTAGAGGCAATCGGGCGTCTAGACACAATGATGAGCTGTGATACAGCGAAACAGCATGTCTGTGGATGACAATATATATATATATATATATATATATATATATATATATATATATTTTGACACAGTTGTCGGTATCGTAAGTTTTATCGACTCGCAAAGTCATGACTCTACATCATTCTTTTTTTTGGTTAAAAATCTCTGACAAAAAAGTATTGGGATTGTTGCTATGGTAACATAGCTAAAGTACGCAGTATAAAGTCGCTGGGCATAGACTGACCTTGAACTCTGTCGCGCAAACACACTAAGCTATAATCTTGTCGATCACTTTAGTTGTTTATAGAAGTGCTTGTAATTAAAGTGTGGTCGTCTCATCTCACCACAGAGAATCCACGAGTGTCCATGGCTTGTGCTGCAGTTTTGGGCCAATGACAACATTTCCCAGATATGCAGTCACGATATCGCCGGATTGCGCCATTTGCAACTTTTTCCCTCTTCAATTCAAAAATCAAATCCCGTTTGAAGTGAACAAGATTTAAAGACGACGAGAAAATCCCAGAGCATACGACGAGGCAGCTGCTCACTATCCAAAAAAGAAGCATTTCCAGGAATACTTCTATCAATGGATACGTGTGTGTAGCTTCAGAATGGGACTATAAGCAGCTATACTCGTCCGGCAAAACGTTAGGTGTTTTAGCTTGTAAATGAACAAACAAATACCCAAGGGAAAAAAAAAAGGATAAAAAAAGAAAGAACTAAGAACAAGTACTTCCGGCGAAAATAATCGTCTAGAATCTAATTTCAGAGTCCAAAGAAAAAAACTAGATAATGAACAGACTCAGATAGATAGATACATAGACATGAATAGACTGAGATAGATAGATAGATAGATAGATAGATAGATGCATTTATGTACCCAAACTATTTCAGGTAACGAAATGTCTTCCTCAAGGAATACCATTTTTTCTTTTATTCCTAGTTGGAACGATTTCGTGAGATGCGTGAAATATTCAGACAAGACACGGAAATTGCAGAGTAACTTGACAGATACTAATTGGTCGACATATTCAAATTCCTAAACATCTAGGCATCAAATGGTTCAAGAAATCTTTAGGCATTATTAGCATCGTAAATAATAAAACATCCGGCGCTAAAAACGAATACGAACCATCCGTATGGCAGTGAAGAAATAATACTTTTCGGAATTTTCGGATGATCTCCAGAGTAAAACGGTAAGATCGAGGATGTAAATTATAAATTCTTTCGAAAGCAGAGGCCGTTATCCTTGGTAAAAAATGTGCCAGACAATGAAGCAATGGAATGATGGACATTCTTTTGGTGGGATTGGGAGAAACAGAAAACAGATGAACGTACTCATATAGACGTGTCTTTAACGAAGTCGAGAATTAGTTATTGGACAGTTTCCTCAGAAGCAGTTTCAATAATTGTAGCGATATGAGTCAGCTGAGGTCTTGTTAAATTGAAATCAGCAGGACCCGTCGCAGCAAGGAACATTTATTTTCGACCGATGGTTATTAGTAAGTGGAGTCAACTTCGAAGTACAGAGCAAGAGGCTCAGACACAGCGAAAGTCACGGAAGTAAGTGGAGTCAACTTCGAAGTACAGAGCAAGAGGCTCAGACACAGCGAAAGTCACGGAAGGAAGATAAATTAATTTTTAGATGAAGATGAAAAGAGAAAGAAAATTGTTAGCTATAAAACTGACCTTCTGACGCAAGGGTACACAGAAAGATCGAAGTGGGCCTCGAAGAACAGACAGGGAAGACAGCCGATGAACTATGGAACTACCCCTTCACCAACGCCTCATCAGTAAAAAAATTATTATAGTAGCTATTTTATGTGTATTTATAGCTAATTAATATATAATGCAAGTTACTTTTAACTTACACGTTATTTTTAGTGGATACCCATATTTGAGTAGACGTTCCGTTTATTTATTAAACAGTACATTTATTATTTGTTTACCGGCCTCAATATTCGAGAAATATTATTACAGAAAAATAGAAGCAGTCCGGCAGGATTCAAAATTGCGTTACTCTTTGCCGGAGAAACCATCATTAGATCCGTGAAACTTTAGTCCGTCACGCTCAAGGAGTGCGTCGGTGAGTCAGTTTCAATTTCTGTGTGATGGGTTTTCATTTATTGATCCGAAGAATTTTATCACTTAAACCTTATATATGGATATAAACCAAAATAGGCTTTAAGGAATTAAATCTTTCGGATTAATGAATAAAAGTCCATCACTTCGTTACTGCTAGTTATTATATACATATTTATGGCTAAGACTTATACTGCTACTTATTATATGCATACTTATAGCTAATACTGATATTCTATACTTATTGCTAATTCTTATACTGCTAGTTATTATATGCATACCTGTAGCAAATCCTTATACTGTTATTTATTATATCCATACGTATGGCTAATTATTATACTGCTAGTTATTAGATGCCTACTTATAGATAATTCGTATACTACTAGTTATTGTATGCAAACTGATAGAAAATTTTTTACACTGTTATTGTGCTTAAACGTATAGTTAATTATTATACTGCTCCTTATTATATGCATTCTTATATCTAATTCGTATACAGTTAGTTATTATATGCATTCTTATAGCTAATTCTTATACTGCTAGTTATTATATCCGTACTTATAGCTAATTCTTATACTGCTTGTTATTATATCCATACCTATAGCTAATTCTTATACTGCTAGTTATTATATCCATTTATAGCTAATTCTTATACTGTTATTATATCCATACTATATAGCTAATTCTTATACTGCTAGTTATTATATCCATACTTATAGCTAATTCTTATACTGCTTGTTATTATATCCATACCTATAGCTAATTCTTATACTGCTAGTTATTATATCCATACTTATAGCTAATTCTTATACTGCTTGTTATTATATCCATACTTATAGCTAATTCTTATACTGCTAGTTATTATATCCATACTTATAGCTAATTCTTATACTGCGAGTTATTTTATCCATACTTATAGCTAATTCTTTTACTGTTTGTTAATTCAATATATAGCTAATTCTTGTTATTATATCCATACTTATACTTATTATTATACTAATTGTTTATATCCATACCTATAGCTAATTCTTATTATATCCATACTTATAGCTAATTCGTATACTGCTTGTTATTATATCCATACTTATAGCTAATTCTTATACTGCTAGTTATTATATCCATACTTATAGCTAATTCTTATACTGCTTGTTATTATATCCATACTTATAGCTAATTCTTATACTGCTAGTTATTATATCCATACTTATAGCTAATTCTTATACTGCTTGTTATTATATCCATACTTATAGCTAATTCTTATACTGCTAGTTATTATATCCATACTTATAGCTAATTCTTATACTGCTTGTTATTATATCCATACTTATAGCTAATTCTTATACTGCTAGTTATTATATCCATACTTATAGCTAATTCTTTTACTGTTTGTTATTATATCAATACTTATAGCTAATTCTTATACTGCTAGTTATTATATCCATACTTATAGCTAATTCTTATACTGCTTTTTATTATATCCATACTTATAGCTAATTCTTATACTGCTAGTTATTATATCCATACTTATAGCTAATTCTTATACTGCTTGTTATTATATCCATACTTATAGCTAATTCTTATACTGCTTGTTATTATATCCATACTTATAGCTAATTCTTATACTGCTAGTTATTATATGCATACTTATAGCTAATTCTTATACTGCTAGTTATTATATGCATACTTATAGCCGATTCTTATACTGCTTGTTATTATATCTATATTCACATGTAATTCTTATACTGCTAGTTATTATATGCAAACATAACATTTTTTCTACCACTCGTTATATGTAAAATAATAAGTAATTTTTATACTTCTAGTCATTTTATGTGTCATTTATTCGCTGAAAAATCAGCTCGGTTCTATTTTCTATTTCGCTGTTATGATTTATGGTATCCTTTGATATCACTTTCTAAATGATGTCAGTTACAGGCTTCTGTAAATTGGCCAATGGTGTCATTACCTTTGAATGACTATCGTGTTGTCGTATGAATCATTGATTTTAGTGTAATTGTGTTTTCTCCTCAAGTGACAAAGTTGAACAGCGTCAATGGGATTTTGTAATTGAGATTTGCCTCACGTATTAAACGAATTCTGTCCTTTCAGAAGGAAAATGAAATGTTTTCAACAAGAGACTTTCTCTCTTTGAAGAATTTGGATGGGAGTTTAAAGAGACGCCAAAAGTTCTAAGTTTTATGTTCTTGCTTTTTTTGTATTGTTCTTTCTTACCATTCTTCTTGCCTAGTCATTTTTTTATTATTTACTTTGTTCTATTTACGCTTTGTTGTTTTAAGGTCTCTTTTACTATTTCTTTATAAAATCTCTTTTACTGTTTCTTTATATATTATAAATGCCGACTTTCTTTCTTCCTCTCTCTCTCTTTCATTCTTTCTTTCTTTCTTTCTGTTTGTTTGTATCTTTCTTTCATTCTTTCTTAGTAACATTTCTACATTTGTCCTTTGTAACGATATTATTTTCTCTTTGTTTGGTGGTTTGGTTTCTCTATTTCTTTTTTATTATTTTTTTGTCTTTCCTTCCTTCTCCACCTTTCGTAAAATTCTACTTTTCTTTCTTTCTTTCTTTCTTTCTTTCTTTCTTTCTTTCTTTGCTGGTTTCTTTCTTTTTTTCTTTCTTTCTTTGCTGGTTTCTTTCTTTCTTTCTTTCTTTCTTTCTTTCTTTGCTGTTTTTTCTTTTTTTTCTTTCTTTCTTTCTTTGCTGCTTTCTTTCTTTGCAGCTCTCTTTCTTTGCTGTTTT